AGACCTCCAGCCTCCCCGGGATGTACAAAACTTTGATGGGCGATTGCTGAAAGCCGGGCCGGTGGCTCGCTACACAGCGCCCGTGCAGATGGAAGTCGGGGACCATGTGGAAGAGGTCTCCTTTTTGGTCATGGACCTTCCACACGCCGTGGTGTTGGGAATTCCATGGCTGGCCAAGCACAACCCGACCATTTGGTGGGCTCAGAAAAAATTACAGTTCACCTCGGCCTTTTGTAAGGAACATTGTGGCGGGGAGCGGAGGTGTCGGGCCGCAGAGGTTGCCGCACAAGCCACGGTCAAATTGCCCGCCAAGTACCAAGATTTTTGGGACGTTTTCAGCGAGAAGGAGGCGGAGAGACTTCCTCCGCACCGTCCGTACGACTGCGCTATTGACTTGATCCCGGGCGCCCCGATTCCGCGTGGGCGATTGTATTCTCTCTCGGAACCAGAGCTGGCGGCTCTCCGGGAGTTTCTGGATACTAACCTACGCAAGGGGTTCATTCGTCCCTCGCAGTCGCCGGCTGGGGCTCCAGTTTTGTTTGTCAAGAAAAAGTCAGGGGAGCTGCGACTTTGCAATGACTATCGGGCGTTGAACAACATCACGATCAAGAACCGTTATCCGCTCCCCCTCATCCCGGAGCTTCTCGACCGTTTGCGAGGGGCCCGGATTTTCACCAAATTGGACCTAAGGGGGGCCTATAACTTGGTGCGTATCCGGGAAGGGGACGAGTGGAAGACAGCCTTCCAGACCCGCTTCGGAAGCTTCGAATACAGAGTCATGAGTTTCGGGCTCTGTAACGCTCCGGCCACGTTCCAGCACTTCGTCAACGACATCTTCCACGACTTTTTAGACCGTTTTTTGGTCATTTACCTGGACGACTTCCTGATCTACTCCACGAATCCACGGGACCACGCGCAACAGGTGCGTGCAGTGCTCCAGCGCCTGAGAGATCATGGACTTTATGCTAAGCTGGAAAAGTGCGCCTTCGATTTAAATGAAGTAGACTTTCTGGGACACCGCATCTCTGCGGAGGGAATTTCCATGGACCCCGCTAAAGTCTCCGCGGTGTTAGAATGGAAGTCCCCCATGAGCAGAAAGGACATCCAAAGATTCATGGGTTTTGCCAATTACTATCGCAAGTTCATTCCAGACTTTGCCCGCTGGGCGGACCCCATTACCCAATGCCTGAGAGGCAAACGGCCGTTCCTATGGACTGAGGCGGCTGAAAGAGGTTTTCAGCAGCTCAAGAAACTTTTCACTTCCCAGCCTATCCTGCAACATCCTGATCCAACTAAGCTCTTTGTGGTGCAGGCCGACGCGTCGGATGTGGCGGTCGGGGCAGTGTTGCTACAACCTGCGGGGGATCATCTCCAACCCTGTGCATACTTTTCTCGACAGTTGACTGCCCCAGAACGGAACTACACCATTTGGGAAAAAGAACTCCTAGCCATCAAGTCGGCGTTTGAGACTTGGAGACATTGGCTAGAGGGTGCTCTGCAACCAGTGGAAGTCCATACGGATCATCGCAATCTGGAATATCTCCGTACCTCCCGGAAGTTAAACCAACGACAGCAGCGTTGGGCGTTGTTTTTTGAGAGATTCAACTTCCGAATTTGCTACGTGCCAGCGGCCCAAAACAAACAAGCAGATGCTTTGTCGCGCAAGCCGGAGTATACTCGGGGCCAGGAAGATTCCGCTGAGTCCTGCATTTTGCGTCCAGAAAACTTTGCGTCCACCGGCGCAACAGGACCCCCTTCGACTCTGGCTGAAAGGATCCGGGCGCGGCAGCAAGAGGACTTGTGGGTGCAAGAGCAGCTGGAGGCCGGACTAAAATTCCCATTTCAGGAGTTAGATGGGATGCTGTGTCATCGTTCAAAGGTTTATGTGCCGCCCGGCCCCGAGCGGGAGGAAATTTTAAGACTATGCCATGACACCAAGCCAGCGGGGCATTTTGGGATCTTTAAAACAATGCAGCTGGTGCTGAGGGACTTTTGGTGGCCCAAGATCCGACGAGAGGTCGAGAAATATGTCAATGGGTGCCCTGTTTGCCACCGCGCCAAGAACTCTACGGGCAAACCGGCTGGTTTGCTACAACCTCTACCCACTCCGAGTCGGCCCTGGGAAATCGTGTCGGCCGACTTCATCACGGATTTACCAGAATCTCAAGGGTTCACCACCATTTTGGTAGTGGTGGATCTTTTCACCAAGATGGGACATTTCATTCCCTGTGGGGGAGTGCCTACTGCCAAAGAAACTGCTGACCTATTCCTAAGCCACATTTTCCGTCTTCATGGACTTCCAACGAGTTTGGTGACCGATCGCGGTGCCCAATTTACCTCGCACTTTTGGAGGGAGATACAGCGGCAGTTGGGCATCGAGAGTCGGATGTCGTCAGCACACCATCCACAATCCGATGGCCAGACCGAGAAGACCAACGCCACCCTTGAACAATATTTGAGATGTTTTGTAAACTATCAACAGGACAATTGGTCATCGCTTCTTGCTGTAGCTGAGTTTGCTTATAACAACGCTACTCACGGATCGACCAAAGAAGCCCCGTTCTTTGCTAACTATGGATATCACCCCCGGTTCTTTCCCTCCGTGGTTGGTTCAGGGGAGGTCCCTGCTGCTACCACTTGGCTGCAGGAGCTCTCAGCGATTCAAGAGATTTTAAAGGCTCAGCTTGAGCAGGCAAAAGAGGATTACAAACGAGTGGCTGATAACCATCGACAGCCGGGTCCACCGATCCAAGTGGGAGATCGTGTTTGGTTGTCCACTAAACACCTGCCTATACAACGCCCCTCTCGAAAGCTTGACGCTCGTTTTGTGGGGCCATATCCAGTGGTGGACCAATTAAATCCTGTGACCTTTAAGCTAAAGCTTCCGCGCGGCATGCGGATTCATCCTGTTTTTCATCGATCTTTGCTTCGACCCGCCGCGGAAGTCCGGCCTGATGCTGGCGGGGCCCCTCCGCCACCCCCGATTCTGCGTGATGGAGAGGAGGAATTCGAAGTGGCGGACATTTTGGACTCTCGCCGTTATCACCGCAAGTTACAATACTTGGTGGACTGGGTGGGATATGGTCCTGAGGAGCGCTGTTGGATAGATGCTCGAGATGTCCATGCTCCTCTCCTAGTGTCCCGCTTTCACCGGGCCTACCCGGCCAAGCCCGGTCCGGGGTGGGGCTTGGGGGGGGGATAGTGTTGTGGTTCAGCAGCAACAGCATGATGGGACTGAGGGTGCAGATGAGCATGATGGGAATGGGAATACAGATGCAGGTGTGGGATTTCAGATTTCTCAGTTTTCTCAGCCACAGTCTGTAGCTAGAGAGAAACCATTGTTATCACAGGAACGGAATGTGGCTGATAAAACAGCTAGTGAAGGTCAGACTGTGCCGCAGGTGTTAAGAAGGAGTTTACGAATTGCGGCCAAGTCTTGAGCCCATCCGTTGGTGGGAAAACTGCTTGTTAGCTGTCTGTTTAATGTTCAATGTTTTGATGTTTTACCTATAAGTAAACTGCCTGGGAACTGATTCGGCGTCAGTTTCAACGTTGCAAAAATGGCTCGCGTTGTCTCCTGCTCTGGGCCTTGGACCTTGAGAAAGAAAGCCTGCTTCATGTAACCTCATGCTATTTCCTGGATTTTATGCTGCTTCTTGCTTCAAGTTTCCTGCTTTGACTCAAAGGGAATCTATTGGATTTTTACCTTGTACTATTGACTTTTTACTGCTATATTCTGATTTGTTTGAAACCTCACAATAAACTTCTTTCTTCATAAGTTTGGCTGGTTTGTCAGAGAGAGCAAGGTGAATTTTAGCCTGAGATACAACAACAGTGTGCTAAATTAGAACTGGAAATCATACATATACTCCAAAGTTTTGTACACATCTTAGACATTCACAATGATTTATAGGATTTTAAAAATTAATGCTATCGCAGGAATTACTATAAATCTAATGTAAATAAAGGAGTATTAGAATAAAAGAATATTAGAAATTGCATATTAGAAAATCTAATATTTTCACTTCTATATAATTGTTACACCCTAAAGCCTAAAAACATTCTTCTCTTCATATTTGATGGTCTAAAATATATGTACAGGCCATTAATAAAAAAAGGCGCACCTTACACTCACCTGTTCTGTGCTGTGAATGTTTCTCTTTGAGGGTGAAGATCACTATAAACCACTCTGATAAGGTCATGCTGACACAGAGCTCCCTCAGTCAAAGCCATGGATCCAATAGTCGATGGCTTAAGGTGTACAAAAAAGATCAAAAGGTTGTTTAACTTCAAAACACCATTAAATGCAGGAAATAGGAGTGACATGGGAAGGTAGCATGAAAGAATAACACATGACCATCCCATTACAGTCCACCAGACACACATAGAAACTCCAGTATAATTTTTATAGATAACCTGTTGTTCTCCCACAAATGAATGCTAAGGACAATTAGAAAGACTCACTCAGTAATACAACTGTATTCCTACCTCATGGTAAATTGATGGCTTGGATAAAGAAGGAATGGTAAAAGATAACACTTTATTGTTCCCATCTTTGTCAGCAATTTCCTACGAAAAAAGAATCCATATTGAAAATTTAAATTGTCTTGGATGATAACATCACATTAATTTAAATCAGTGGTTCTCAACCTGTGGGTCCCCAGATGTTTTGACCTACAACTTGCACAAATCCAAAACAGTTTACTAGCTGTTAGGATTTCTGGGAGTTGAAGGCCAACACATCTACGGAAGACCCATCTGAATAGCATACCAAAGCACAACGTTGATGGCAACATGTTTTCAATAACTACTTTTTCGCTTTCCTTTTATAGTCCTGGTTCTATATAGAAGTTAAACTATAGTTATATAAATATTCTAAAGCAGTATGAATCTTGGAAATCCTGGACAGTATCTTATATTGCTATAGCTATTGTGAGGGGAGCTCACAATGTCCCATACACCCTGAACACTTGTTTCAGAGGATTAAAATATTTTTGGAGCAGGTCTGAGAGTTTCAGGAGAAAGAGACAAGACTCCGAATCTGGGTAACAGATCTAGGCCCTCCTAACACAATATGAAGCAAGTGCAATGCCTTAAGAGCCCTAGATACTTCCTGATCTTGGAAGGAATATAAGGTCAACTCTGGTTGGTATCTGGTGGGAGACCACCAACAAATACTAGATGCTATAGGCTACATCTCAGAGGAAGCAACTGGTAAAACCATCTTGTATCCCTTGCCTATAAAATTCATAGGGTCACAATAGGCGACTTGTATGTCTATGGGACATACAACAGAATGTGATGCAGTGTTTTGTGTTATCATTACTATATAGAAAGATCAGTTCACTTCAATTATTTACCTGTCCAGTTTTACTTACCAAATTATAAATCCCTAGAAGCAGGGCCTCAATGCAGCCATTGCTCTGCCTATCTTTGCTGGCAGTAAGGTGCAGATAAACCCAAATCAATTCTGGCAAGAACTGCAATGTAAACCTTTTCAGACGAACCTCAGAACTACGATAGAGTTCAAAAAGTTGGTGACAGACAGGTTCCAGGAGCTGAAGGGGACCCAAAAAAAAAAAAGCCCAGAATAAACAACAGATCAAAGGTTATTATTATGATCTATTAATTCACACAAAGGATGCTGATAAATGCAAAGTTGCCAAGAATGCTGGTCTTTAAAAACTGGTTTTGCAATTCTACTGAAATTGAGTTTCTCAACCTTTTACAACAAGATGATAGGAAAACACTGAAAAAGATTCAGAAAACCAACCAAGACGACAAGCAAGAGACAAAGAAAGCATTGCCTCAGAGAATTTATTCACTGAATGAATCCAGAATAAAAAACCTGTTTCCTTGATGTACTTCTTTTCCTTCTGAAATATATTGTAGTTCATTTTCAGTTCAAAGAAGAACTCCAAAGTATCATACAGCAAATACATTAAAACCTAGAATGCTTTCAATCAGTCAGACTGAGACCAATAAAAAACTAACTGGAACAAAATTACATTCAATCCTTATCAAAAGGTAAACTCAAGCTCTTAACATTTTGAAGATTAAAAGTGAGGAACTCCATGGCCCTGTTTCACATCCTAGGCTTCCGGATGTTACAACACACAGGAGAAGTGAAATTTCATAATTATATTAATTGGCAAAATATTTTAAATTATTTCTAGCAAAGAATCATCCAAATTAACATAGACTCGTGAACATTGTGCATATTCTTTAAGACAGTGGTCTCTAAACCTATGTCTCCAGATGTCATTGGACTTGACATCTGGAGCCCCCGGTGGCACAGTGGGTTAAACCCCTGTGCCGGCAGGACTGAAGACCAACAGGTCACAGGTTCGAATCCAGAGAGAACGTGGATGAGCTCCCTCTATCAGCTCCAGCGCCTCATGGGGGGACATGAGAGAAGCCCCCCACAAGGATGATAAAACATCAAAAACATCTGGGCATCCCCTGGGCAACATCCTTGCAGACAGCCAATTCTCTCACACCAGAAGCGACTTGCAATTTCTCAAGTTGCTCCTGACACAACAAAAAAATGGACTTTAAATCTAAGAAGTCCCAGTCAATGTAGCCAATGGTTAACTATTCAGGGAATTGTAATAAGTAACACATGGGATCCAAGTTTGAGAACTACTGTTTCAAGGGATATAACTGCAGAAATCTGTATTCTTTTATTACCTCTATACCTTATATTAAACTTTTTTGATCCTGAAAACTACATTAGGAATTCACCCAAAGGATGCATTAATATATTAGGATGTGTGGGGTTTTTTTAAAAAAAAAATCTCTTTTTTGGGTCAATGTAAATAGAAATCCTAACATGGCTGTTTTAAAGTAGCACTATTGCAAGTTCTTAAAATTGGCATGTTAACCATACAGCAAAATAAAACAAAATGCGAAAAAGAGTGATACCTATAAGGGCCAACTAATTTATTTTATTTGTGCAGTTTTGTGCACATGAGTTGGCCAATAAAGATACAGGTTTTTTTGTTGATTTTGTTTTATATTGCAAGTTCTGTAATTCTATTTTAAGTCTACACCTGCCCATACAATTTAATAACACCGTATTTCTAGAAACCTTCAAATAAGCAAAATTTAAAATTTTGGGCAGCTACAAGCCATGGTAGCACAGGAGTTAAAGTCACTAGCTGAAGGAAAGGCTGCTGACTGGAAGGTCAACAGTTCAAAGTAGTGAGTCGGGATGAGTTCCCGATTGTCAATCCTAGTTTCTGTCAACCTAGTAATTCGAAAGCATGTAATGTGAGTAGATCAATAGGTATCACCCTGGTGGGAAGGTAAAACGGTGCCCCATACAAAATAATCGGAAATGTCTATGGACAGCAAGGCTCCTTCGGCATGGAAAATTGAACAAGAGCACCTCTCCATGGCCGGAAATTGAGCATCGCCTCCAGACACCAGAGATGGCAAAACGGGAAGGCCTTTACCTTATCTATGTACTGTATGTTGTTGTTCAGGTAAATAGGCATTGAATATTTGCCTTAAATGTGTACTGTAAACTGCTCTGAGTCCCGCCGAGGAGATAAAGCAAAATATAAATAAAGTGTATTTATTTATTTTATTTAACAAAAAGTTAAGGAACTAAGAAACCGCTATTTTTATACACCTAAACAATAACTACTTAGAAAAGTTCTTCTGACACTGAGGGCAGGGACATTTGAAACAATGCCACCCCGTAAAATGTCCACTGGGTGCAATAACAGCTGTCTGCTGCACCGCTGTTATGTTTTTGCTCCATCCAGTGTCCTTCTTTCTGCTTTTAACTATAATTCAGTAGTTTTCTTAAAACCCATTATTTACATAACTGTAACTCTGGTTTATTTAAGGCTAAAAAGCCAGGGCTGTTTAATCATGACTAGTGTGGAAAATATATTCCTTTGTGTAATCTATTAATAAACTAGACCCAAATGTACATAATTATTATGTTTTAAAACATATGGCTAACCTCATGCAATACTGAATGAAATGAAATGTTGCACCCTCTATGTTGACTACCATTAAAATCAAGAAAATATATTGAATACAATTAAATGTTTTAAATAGAGTGCATGCAACTGGGGAAAAAAAATCTCCCAACAGTCAATGATTACTGAAGTAGAATAAAGTAGGAGATGAAAGCAAAATTTCACCTGCCCTAGTTAGGTTAATGGAAAAGCAATTATAAATCTCTTTAAAAGAAATGTATTATTATGTATTTTGCCACTGCTTCTAAAAGCAGTGGCAAGCCACATACCTCATTATTTGGATCTTGAATGACCTTATAAAGAGCTGGCACCAAAGATTTTTTTCGGTGAAGTGTTGCCGCATAATTGGAGATCTGTATTTCAGGTAATGCCTAGGAGAAGAGAAAAGTTTGGTTACTTTATTTCTTGCCACTGACTGAAGCAAGCAAATCACCAACTTCCAATTCATTCTCCTATATCAATAGACTACTGCAAAGGGAGGAAAAAACAGGCTGGTGAAGTGCAAAATACTTTTACATACCGCCACAACATAGGGCAGTTTTGATGCATGCTTACTTTTTAAAATCATTTTACTCACCTTGAATTCTGATAGCCATTCTTCTACCACACCACGTTCTGATCCTAGCATCTTCTTACAACTTCTACTCCTCTTTCACCTTTAAGAGGGAAAAGCAGTAACGAAGAACAGTGTCAGCTACAAAGCAGACAGACTCAGAAGAAGCTGTTCCAATATTTGATAGTGTGATTTTATTTCAGGTGATCTGATTGCTACCTTTAATAATCTTTATTGCTTCCTTTTTACACAATCGGTAAAAAGTAAAATCACGTGTAAACAATTAAAAAACCAGTTTTTTAAAAAAATGGACACACAACAAAGAACATAGGGATACTATTGAAATCAGGATAACATGAGATGGAGTAAATATTTTTCATGTTGATGTATTTCTAAAGGCTGAAGTTATAATCATGCTTTTAAACACAATTGGTTATACAAAGGGAGAAGCAGCACTATCTTCAAGATACACTAACCATGCTTGTTTTCTTATCAAATATAATATAAGCAAAGATCAATCAGAAAAAGTTGAAGGACATTATGGACTCACAACATGTGATGTCCTCTAACAATAAATTTGGCCATGGAACAAAGGAAAATAATGTCCTGAAGTCAAATGGTATTGTGGTATATCCGTTTCCCTGACCTGTTGCTGAGAAATTCTGAAACTTCTATTCAGCAAATAACAGCCTCATGATACATAGTATGGTCATTTAGAAAACAATAAGAGACTTTATTGAAGTTATAAAATTATCTCCTAAATTTCTAAGTATGGTTTTATAAACGCTAATCTCTGTACTGTACAGCTAGGTGATTTTTCCTACTATAGATCACTGTCTGAACTAAGCCTCAGACTGCGATCAATAGTAGGAAAAATCACCTAGCTGTTCTGCTCTTTTTGACTCATAACGCCAAAGACGGAATTGCTGCAAAACAAAAACTGTTCAGCAGCCATCTGTACACTTTCCTGGGTAGTGGAGGTTTAGTAGAATCATAGGAGTTGGAAGAGACGTCGTGGACCATCCAGTCCAATCCCCTGCCAAGAATTTGATTTTCCTAACTAATAAGGATAAAAATTGCTGAAGATTTTATAATTACCTAACAATACGCTGATTTTACTCAACACTTACTAGAAAAGCCCCTTTATTATACACACACACACACATACATACATACACACACACACACACACAAACACACCATATATACTCGAGTATAAGCCGACYCGAATATAAGCCGAGGCACTTAATTTTACCACAAAAACTGGGAAAACAGATTGACTTGAGTATAAGCTGAGGGTAGGAAATGCAACAGATACTGGTAAATTTCAAAATAAAAATAGATACCAATAAAATTACATTAATTGAGGCATCAGGAGGTTAAATGTTTTTGAATATTTACATAAAACTAATTTTTACATAAAACTTGCATATCCTTCCAATAAAAATAGAGTAAAATAATAAATGTAATAACAACAACAAAAAAGTAAAATAAYAAATGTAGTAGTAGTAGTARTAATAATAATAATAATAATAATACATTTATTACRTATTTATAACAGGGTAAAATAATAAATAACCTTGACTCTCGAGTATAAGYCGAGAGGGACTTTTTCAGCCCCAAAAAAGGCCTGAAAAACTAGGCTTATACTCGAGTATATACAGTATATGCATACATATTGGGACATGCCCTGTATTATGTCTCCTTTCTCTTTGTAGATCAGTTGTGTGAAAGATATCCTGACAATGAGCTAAATGTTCCCGTTGTACTAAGGCTCCTTTACAGAAGAAGTCAAACATGTGTTCTCCCGGTATTCTGCAACACATGCATTCTTCATGTCAGCCACTGAGCTCAAAGATGCGCAAGGTGGAGGAAGAGAAGGGCTTCTACTTCTCAATAGTCTCTACAGATTCCTACAGCTGCCCCCCATACTGCCCTGCACTGTCAAGGGAGCCCACTGATGTCCTAAAGAAATTTTCCAGAGAACAGGGCTATGTAGGAGGAAGGAAGAACCCAATACTTTTTTCCATGTTCCTTTTTAATTCAACTTCTCTTTGGATTCTCCTTTTTTTAAGTACAAAGGGATTAAAGTATGTTGGTATTCAGACAGATTTAGCTATCACATGCATTTGTACCATTATTTCATTTTTGGGTTTTGAAATATGTTAATAATTGTGTATTTTGTTATTGTGTATGATGTGTTTTAACTGTTAGTGTTGTGATAATTTACATTGTGTAAACCGCATTGAGTCGCCTAATAAGGTTGAGAAACGCGGTATAGAAATGAAGCAAATAAATAAATAAATAAATAAATAAATAAATAAATGTTCTAGCAACTTTTCAGTTGTCATCTTAATATTGATAATTGTCTCTTAAACCAAAGGCAGAAATGACTACTTGCTGTACCTTTCAAATCAGTACCAAGCTAGGTTTTGAAATCTGTGTGTGTGTATTTTTAACAAACTACAATCAAGACTGTTCAGATAGACAAGAAAAATGGTTGCCCACAGTTCCCCAAGTCCAGGAATTATAGAAAATTCAGATTTATTCACATGTTAAGTCAAATTCACATGTTAAATACAAGTGAAATTATAGCTGACCTTCTAGGTTTACTTTTTCTGTATCCGGGGTTTCAAATCATACACAGGGGGACCTTGGAACCAAAATACAGCAAATATATAGGAAATATCAAACAATATCCTATGTGTATGTGAACTGGCCCTTCTGTAATCCATAGAATTGTTTGCCAGAGGAAAACTGGCACGTACGTATATATTAAAATCAGAGTTAATAATCTATGGTTAGTTTGTCTGTGTGTGTTTGTCTTTAAGTTGCTTGTTGCCATATGGCGACCTCATGAATTTAATAGGGTTTTCTCCTTCCTCTGAAATATAGTCTACAGCATATGACATTTGCCAGCAATCTCTCATACAAGTACTATCGAGGGCTGACCGTGCTTAGTTCCAGAATCAGACAGGACCTGGCACTTTTGGGGAGGGCATTTAGGTCTGCCACCCTGATCGTAAAGGAGAATATAGGAATGTTTTACTTTACCTCTGATTGAATAAGTTAGTCCTCTAAAGGAATTGATGGAGGAATGCCGCCATTTTCTAGTTTGGAATGCATTTGTCTGCCTTTCAAATGATCACAAGTTCTGCCAACAAAGAGACACAAAAGAAGAATACAGTTAAAATAGTAAAAAAGCTAGACACAATTTGGTCACGCTAAGCAACCTCTCTTTCTTAACCATGCTTCTTTCATGGCTGCAACCATTCCTTTTCCTTCCAGCGATTGCTATCTATAGAATCATAGCGCATCATCATGATTATTAAAGACATTTATTATTGCACAGGCTCTGGGCATATAACTTTAGATAAAAAAGCAATCACTTCACAACATCATTACCATTTGAAATGGTGAAACAAAAAACACTGCTGCCACCAGCAAAATAAAATTAACTTATATTTCTCCCTAATCTCCTAATATAGTTACACACTTAATATAACAAATAAGAAAATGACAATATGGTTCTGATACATCCCATCATTAATGTAAACATAACAAGGTGCAGGATATAAAATTACCACAGTGATTCAAAGAATATCTTCATATACCAATGATTGTATGCAATAATAATTTCTGTTTGATACGTATTTAATCACCAACATACAAATATATTTATAACAAAATACTTAGCACTATGTAAAATGTGTTTGTGTATCAGGAACTCTGACGTATACTAGGTCAAAGTAAAAAAAAATGGACCCAGAGAAAATGACAACTTTGCAGTACTTAAATGCAAAAACATTCAGTTTTAATATAAACATTTGATATAATACAGTCCATCACTCTTAAGTTTCTGAAAACAGAATTAGAAGGGGAAAAATATAATGGCATCTTCTTAAACAACTCAGTGCAACACAGAAGTACTGCTTGCAAGTGCTTGTTTTGAGACCAGATTTCTTTACCTTTTTACATGCTCCCACCACCAGTTTCCCTAGAAACAACATCATGCAGTCATCCTACACTAAGCCTAAAAGACTCGTCAGCTACTGTGTGATAACCCAACCAACGCAAATCAAGACAGATTACTAGTCCATCTTTCATCAATTCCTCTAAGAGGGTTTGCTCTTCTGCTAAATGTAATATTGAATACTGCTTGTTCTTTAAAAAAAACCCACTTCCATTGTCCTCATACATGGAATTTCTTCTTCTCAGATCTGTTCTCATTTTCTGATAATAAGACTTCTGTCTTTTTTGAATCCATCTGTTCTGTCACATTAGGCATCAAGACATATCCAAACAAATGTTTTCAAAAATCTGGATGAATCTGCTCCAAATAGCAGCAATTTCTCATTCACGTTTTGGGAAATACACATTGCACATCCATTTCGATGTATACAAACAAAGTCACCTTTTTTCTTAACTAAAAAGCAGACGGTAGTATTATACGATGACTATATCCCCTTGAAGGTATACATGATCAGAGGAAGGCAGTGGAATTGAGAAAGACGCCATTCTGATTCCTCAACTTGACATTTGATGTTTTTTACTTGCTGGAATGGATTGAATAGCCTCCCTCTGCCTCTCTCACAACAAGGGAGGGGGGGGGCTATGCAGAAGGAGAAATTACTGAGCAAGATCATGATGATTTCTGTCCATTGTGTTGTGATTTTTGAGCTTGTACCACATACAAGCCCAACTTGTATGGAAACTTCATAAACCAAGAAGCCACCATGCATACATCCTTTTGTTCTCAAGAATTTCAATCATATGCACTCTATTATGATTTCCAAAGACACATGGGAAAACTACATTTGTATTTTGGGCCTTTAAGGAACAACAATATTACTCTCATCTATACAGATACTTTCTTTTGTACTGTGAAAGAAGAATGCTTCACTGAAAGTAGCCACATTAGTTCTCATTACGAAAGGTTTTAATTGACTTCTATGGCCAACCAACTTAGGAATATATACATGCTTCACCTTCTAGGGAAGACACCACACATTTAGAAGTGCCCATTCTATAATCCAGCAAAACCAAACAATATCTGCTCCATAAGGACACAAAGGCAATTCCACCACTCCTGGAAGGAAGCAGAGGGCAACTGCATTCACCTTTGTTCAGTCGCTCTCTAGAGTTTGCTAAGACATTTCAGCAAGGTTATCCATACCCTTTGTTGACAGTGTCAATGAAAATGAAAGTTGAGGGAACCAGAGAAGGTAAATAGGAAAGTTCCCAATAAAAACAGAAAAGGACCAGAGGACATCTAGTGAGTTCTCCATTGAACATTACCGATCAACTAGAATTTATTTCAAGGCCAGGGTCTGCAAGCTGAAACTTTCATTGCAATGGTGATGACGGCACGCTACCATCAGGTGAGACACAACTCCCTACCTGAGGCTAAGCAGGCCTAGGGCCTGAATACTCCATGGAAGGAAATTTATGTGCAGTACAAGTACTAAATAAATCCAACCTTTTGTAATTATATTAGGATAATCAGAAGATGAACACCTTAAAGATTTTTTAGACAGGTACACCGTGAATTCTCTCACTTGAGTTCAACAGCAATTGTGCTCTTCATCATTCTGTAGCATGAGCTTAATTTGGGCGAATGTAGGTACATATTAACTAAAAGTGCTGCAGCCAACTATTTTCAATGTTTGAAAAGCCCAGCACAGAATGTAACCTATTAAAGGAGAACAGAAACTCTATCATTAATCATCTTAACAAAGTCTCTTTCCATTGTAGGCCAGAGACAGGTATTCAATTTGACCAAACATTCATAAAAAGCAAAGAAACAAGGGAGAGGAGGAAGCATCTCAAACCCTACTATTACTGTAACTGTGATCTACATCTTCACCCTTATTATTGATTTGGTGGTAGAAACTTCAGAAATCTCCAGAAATAAAAAATACACATTTGAACAACAGAATGTTAAGCTGTTGAAAGTAGAATAAATAAAAAGTGAACAGTTGTCTGCATGTGTTGACAGCATTGCTAACTGATGAAGGAAGCTGCTAGCTTTTCACAAATGCTGCTCAAATGCTTCAATGGAATTAGAATTTAAAAACCAGAAAGTAAAAACAAAGTTGATCAAAAACTATCATAATCCAGGAAAAGATATATACATTCATTCAGAAACAAACAATTCTACCAATTACGATTTCCCCACACACCAGTAAAATAACTTGAACTAGATCAATGTCTATTGTACCACTGCTATCATCTTTTATTTCTGATGAAAACCAGTATTACCTAATAACCACATTAGCAACCAGTGGTGCAATGGGTTAAACCCTTGTGCCGGCAGGACTGCTGAAAGACAGGTAAGCGGTTTAAATCCAGGGAGAGTGGGTTGAGCTCCCTCTGTCAGCTCCAGCTCCCCATGCGGGGACATGAGAGAAGCCTCCCACAAGGATGGTATCTCAAATTAGCAACCAGATGTGAAATGTAAGATAGTTATGCTGCTACTGGAGCCCCTGGTGGCGCAGTGGGTTAAAGCTCTGTGCCGGCAGGACTGAAGACCGACAGGTCACAGGTTCGAATCCAGGGAGAGGCGGATGAGCTCCATCTATCAGCTTCAGCTCTTCATGCGGGGACATGAGAGAAGCCTCCCACAAGGATGATAAAAACATCAAATCATCCGGGCGTCCCCTGGGCAACGTCCTTGCAGACGGCCAATTCTCTCACAACAGGAGCGACTTGCAGTTTCTCAGGTCGCTCCTGACACGACAAAAAAAAATGCTGCTACTATTGTTGTTATGGTTATTATTTCCTCTATATTTCTTGGTTCCTACCATATGTTTAAGTTGTACTTGAGACAGAAAAAAACGATGCCATATTTTAAAGACTTATTCTACCATCAAATAAAGACTTGACTGGAGTGCTGCAGACCAATGTCACAAAATATAGTAGCAGCGCATGATAAACATTTACTGGACACTGAAAACCCAAGGATTAAGGCAGAAGTGACACAATATAAATCAAGTGCTTTTATGGTTGCCTTTCCAAAATAACAGATGCATTGACCAGTATGTGTTTTACAATGAACATATATATAGAACTAAATGCCATATTTCACTGCATCCCCCACTTTTGGGGGGGGGGGTGAGACTATATAATAGTTGCACACACCCCTTTTGGGGGGAAAGACCTGATCGCCTCTCCCCACAAGGTATGGAGAGTTGCCCCCTTGCATAATAGTCACACTTATCAACTGTGGGTGCAACTATTATGCAAGAGAACAAAAAATACGATTTTGGGCATCCAAAAAATAGGGATGCAACTATTTCGCGATGGTGACTATTATGTAATAAAATGTGGCAACCTGTTTCAGAAAAGGAAAGAAAACTTAAAACAGCTTTATACTACCACCGTATCGCTACCTGAAGATATCCTTCTTTTTTTGAATGTGAGAATCAAACCTGTTTAATTTTTCCAGAAGTCAATGTATCTTGGTGTTATACATAGACATTTTCCATTGTTTTATAGTCAAACATCATAAAAGATTACAAACCAAAAAGTACGCTCAAATAAAGCAATGACCAATGAAGACCATCGTTTGTTGGCTAAAATGACCAAGAAGACCTCAAATCTTTCCTTGATTCCTCATGTTGTTATGCCCTCCTGCTCAAGATGAGAATACATTTATTATGTTTGGAATACTAACAATCATATATCTTTTCCGAGATTCTTTCCCAGGCTCAGTTTCCCAGATGTCATTCCGCCACAACTCTCATAAATCCCAGTTATCACACTATACTGATGGAAAAGATATAATATCTGGGAACCCAATGCTGGAAAAGGCTGTATTGTATGTTTTGAGTTTTCCTAGAACAAATTCTGAAACTAGAAGGCAGGTTATACATTTATTTCCTCAAATGTACATGATGCATTTCTTCTAAGTGGAAATCCACTCCTGTAAAGAGGAACAGCCAATGACAACACTGCAACTAACTAATAGAAGGTGGTCTCAACCCCAACATAGCTTCTCGAGAAGCAAAACACCAAGATGAAGCCAGGAAATACAGTACTCATACTGTTCAAACAATAAATAATGTCACTAATTAAGAACAAGCAGATCAAATGTTATTAAGGTCACGTATCAGTTACATGCAACCTGCAACAATAATGAAAAAAGGGGCCACT